TTCTCTGAAGATGCCAGACACAGATGCAGGTGAAACATCAGGAATACATTCTTCCAGAATGCGGCCACATAGCCCCAAAAACCCACAAAAAACTGTGTATGTTGTTCTCTTACCAATCCTAAAGGTGTGTGTGTGTGTGTGTGTGTGTGTGTGTATGTACCACTTAAAAGCCAGGGAAAATAGCAAGTAAACTCTTAAAGAGTATAGACTCATAGAATCATAGAGTTAGAAGAGACCACCAAGGGCCATCCAGTCCAGCCCCCTGTTGTTCAGGAACACACAATCAAAGCACTCCCAGCCTATGATAGATATTATTATGCACAGAAGCATAGAAATGTAGAGTGTGGGTGTGAAGGGATCCCCATTGTCACCTAGATCCCCATTATTATAGAGCCCAACTGCCCACCAGGGCAAGAATCCACAACACCGTATGACTGAAATTTGCATTTCAAAATTAACAATGAGCTATCTTTTAAGCCATTATCATAGCTTTTAATGAAACTTTTTATATTTTGTGTGAATAATATTTTATATTATGTCTGAATTATGGCATGTTAGTAGCCTGTGATAGTAATCTTGTTGTTGTTGTGATGTAGTAATATTTTAGTTGTAGTTGTGATGTAGTCGTGATCACAATGTAGTTGTGATGTAGTGATGTAGTAATATAGTAATATTGTTATTGTTGTGATGTAGCGGTTTGAGTGTTTGACTATGACTCTGGAGACCTGGGTTTGATTCCCAATCGACCATGAAACCCCCACAAAAGCGTGGGCAAGTCACACTCTCTCAGCCTCAAGGGAAGGCAATACCAAACCTCTTCTGAGCAAATCTTGCCAAGAAATCCCCATGATTGGTTTGCCTTAGGGTTACCGTAAGTCGGAAATGACTTGAAGGCACACAACAACAAACAACAACAAAGTGGCTTGTGATAGTAATATTGTTGTTGTTGTGTGCCTTCAAGTACCGTCTGATTTATGGCAAACCTAAGGCGAGCCTATCACATTTTTTTTTTTTGCAAGATTTGTTCAGAGGAGGCTTACCATTGCCTTCCTCTGAGGCTCAGAGAGTGTGACTTGCCCAAGGTCACCCAGTGGGTTTCATGGCTGAGCTGGGAATCAAACACCAGTCTCCAGAGTTGCAGTCCAATGCTCAAACCATTAAACCACGCTGCCTCTCGGGAGTAATATAAGCGGACATTTATTCCTTTAAAGAAGTGGCCAAATGATTATTTAAAGTTGTTTTTAATCATTGTGCTACCCTGCACCTTATTTAGCACATTTAGTTATTTTATACACCGTTATGATAGAAAGCATATTTAATAACATTTTTTTAAAATTGTATTGTTTTAATATGTATTTAATGTACAGTCTGATGGTCTATTGACATAATAAAGGCTATTGTTGTTTGTTTGAGTAATAGGTAGTGGAAGAAAGAAAGCCAGCATGGTGTAGTGCTTTGAACGATGGACTAGGTTTGACTCCCTTCTTCGGACGTACAAACCTCCTGGGTGATGTGGGGCAAGTCACACTCTCTCAACCTCAGAGGGAGGCAAGGGCAACCCCTCCTCTAAACAAATTCTGCCATGAAGACCTCAAGGTAGCTTCATCTTAGGGTTGGTATAAG